TCAATATGCTGCGAATTGGGCCGCCAGCAATAATCATAAAATCAATATATATACAGACAGTCTTTCGTCAATTATGGCCTTGAAGAGCGCCAGCTCCAGATCTAGATTCGTTAACTTAGCTAAAAAAGACATCCATTCAGCAATTAATCTGGTCGGCCTCTCGTGGGTAAAAGCCCATATTGGTATTGAAGGCAATGAGCTGGCCGACCAGTTTGCAAAACAAGCTCTATCTACAGGCGAGGAGTTGGATATTCCAGCTCCTCGATCATATTTAAACCGAAAATTAAAGTCTTTTATTTTAAATACATGGAATACATATTGGAGCCAGTATGATTCAGCCTCGGGGGTTAGGGTCAGGACTTTTACCAAAACGGTTAGCCCCAAGTTTTTAATCCATAATAAAATTTTAATATATTTTTTGAGTGGTCATGGCCCTTTTCCGCAATACTTACATCGCTTTAAAAGAATTGGATCACCACTCTGCGTCTGTGGGCTGGTGGGCGATGCAGACCATTACACCTTTGACTGCTCGCTCACCAAAGATTTTCATTTATTAAAGCCCGCAGACGCTCATAAAGCATCTTGGTTTAATAATCTTATTAAAAATACTCAGGCTATCAGTAAAATGACACAGGCGTTCAGGATTAGTAATGATTTGTGCGACTCACTGACCCGTGATGGGGACTTTTTATCAAACTAAATTTTTAATTGACTATTTTTAACTTAAAATTTTATCTTTGTTTTTAATGACCTTTTGTGTATTTTGTGTTCTCATTGTGAGGACCTTTTACTTCAATGTTGAAATTGATAAGCCAGGAAGGCAGATGGGTCTGTTTACCCTTTTAGGGGGTGCTGCGGGGAGGATTGGGTGAAGTACGTGGGGAGTGTAATCTCCTGGTAGGGCCACCCAAGGCGTGAAGGCCACTCCATATTCCTGGCTAGCACTTCAGTCCATCTGCTTGGCTTCAATCATAAATGTATATATATCATCTGAGTAGTTATGTGATTATTGGTTGTTGTTATGTTTTATCTTATACACATCTCATATTGTATATTTTGTCATTATATGCATCATACTTTTAACCAAATTTTTAACTCATATTCATATTTTTAAGATTAAGTCGCTCTCCACGGTCGATCCGTATATTACACCCCACATGGTCGGTCCTTGCACGATAGAGATTGGAGGTTATTGTGGTCTATATCTGCATAGTACTTTGAAGACTGGTTTCATGCCTTAAATTTAGCTGGGTTCATGGATTCTGTTTTTTTTTATGCCCCCTGTCGGTGCTCGAGTGTCGCAGTTAGGGGTCTCTTGGTGGTGTGTCCCCCGGGAGGACTCTGGGCGTTTGAATATTTTTAAATTATATTTTAATGGAATATTTTAATGATTTTAACAGTTGTCTTTTAGAGTTTTTTTTATATCACTTCACTGACTGAGGGGTATTTTAATGCCTCATAAATTCAGTTTTAATACTGTTCTTATACTGGATGCAGTTGAATAGACACTCTCTTCACGTTTGGTGTGGTTGTGTGTGTTTGCTGTGTTTGTGTTGTCCTTTTTCTTTTTTCAGGTTTTATACTCATCTGCTCGGGTTTTATTGGATTGTGATTTTACTTCTCTATATATTGAGATGATCTTGGAGAAGTTTGAATTACAAATTTTTATTCTTATTTAAGTCTGGGAAGTGACCGTACGCTGGAACATGTTCTCACTAGTTGTTTTCAAATTTAATTGGACATTTTATAAGGTATCTAACTTGGATTTTTAGAAATTAGAACACAGAACCGTGATCTTTGCGATTAAAAAGTTTTTTAATTATTCGAACACAGGACTTTTTTTTTTATTTCGTCAGAACACAGGACTGAAAATCTTTTATAAAAATTTATCGGAACACAGGACTAACTTTTCAATCTTTGTCAAGTTTTCAAGTTTTAACGGAACACAGAACTGTCAAAAATTTAAAAAAAAAATACGCACCTCGGCGTAATCACCCTGATTAACAGCCGAGGCGGGTTGGATTAGTATTAATGTGTACGATGTGGTGTGTGTTTTATGTACTAGTAATAAAACGGGCCCTTTTAACACCTCGGATCTGTACTCTTGAAGGAGTGCTCCAGAGGCCCCTTTCGTGCTCTTCTTCCAACCTACTCAAAGAAAGGTATGTTAATGTGGTGCATCTATTTTAATTGAATGTAATAATACCAAAGATACTTCACCAACGGTCCAGTCCTTGGGTCCTTCCTATTCCTGTTGATCCGTCCTGTTGTGGATAACTCTCCTGTTGCTTCCTGAAAGGAAAATACTTTAGTGGGAGGAAGCCGTAAGTTGAATAAAAGAATGATTCAAAACTTTCACCAGACTCTTCTGTCTTGCTTCGTCTTCATGGAAGTCCTGTGTGCACTGTTCTCACTGGGTTCCTGCTCAAACCTCATGGATTTGTCTTGATCATCACGTTTTCGATTTTCTTCTTGCCATCTACAAAGAGAACATGCATGGCAATAGCGGGGTACCCCTTAGTAAAGCTAAACTAACTAACTTAACCTAAGGGGTTACGCGGCGCGTGCGAGTGTCCTCCACGCCCGCCCCACTCGCCGTCGGCGCGATGTGGAGCTCTGCCCATCACCTCCGGCTCCACCGCACGCGTTAGGGCACTTCCCAGCACCTCCGACCCTTTTTATGATTGTCATGGCTGCTTTGGCAGCTGAGTTTTACTTCAACATTTTACCAGACTTTTATTGAATAACTGATTTTTCACAGGGAGACTGGGCTCTCTCAGTTGTTTTTATTTATTTATTATAAGTTTTTTGAGTTCATGGTTTTCCCATGGTTTAGTTATGGTTTTCTTCTTTTTAATTAATTCATGGTTTTAATTTCCATTTCCATCTTGATCACTCTCATAAATCTTTTAAGTGTCTACTGGACTTTTACCAGTTTTTATTGCTTTACACCATCCAGATCAGTTCCAGCATAAATCCTAGTTTTTTTGTTAACTGTATTTTAATGTATACTTGTTTGCTTTTAATGTATATATTTTATGCTTTCCAATGAACCTTATATATATTCCATACCTCCCTTGGGCGAGATCTGTATTTGGCACTGTTGGCCATTTTTATTACCGCCCTTGGGCGTAGTCTGTACTGACCTTCTTCTATGTACTTCAATTTTATGTAATTAAAGTACTGCTCCTGTTCTGAGCAATGATTGTAAACCTTTTGGAATTTTAATAAATCTGTCCGTTGGGCCGGGGCCCATTGTTCCTCAGCGTGCTTTTGGGGTGCCCTTCTTTCCCCGGCGACCCTTCTTTGCTTTAAACCATTTTTGGTAGGCGGGGTCGCCGCGGGTATCTACTCGCCCACAGACTCTAGAGGTCGGCTCCTGACTGGGTTCATCCACAGTTCTTGTCGTTTCGGTTGGAGGAAGGTCCAGATGTGCTCATCTCTGCCGAAGCTGCAAGCGACGCAAGTACTTTCACTTATTATATATCTGAGTCTTCGTTTTCCCTGGGAATACTACCTTTAGGGCAACTTGGATACATTTGGACCATTTTTCCAATCCTTTAGCTACCTGGAGAAAGCTCTTCCTCTCATCAGGAGACCAGACTGTTTCTCGGTAGCCTTTTTAGAGTTGCCAAACGCTACTCGTTTCGGACTGCAAGGTGTTTCTGTCTTTTATGCTGTGTCATTGCCAGTTTTCAAACAAACGTTCTCCCACATACCGAACATGGAAATGGGAGTTGCGCTTGCACCACTCTTGGCGGAAGCCCATTGCATTTAGCACAATGTATTTGTGGCAGAATTCTATTTGCTGCCTCTCCTTCCGCATTTCAAGCAGATGAACATCACAGAAGTGAGGTGACGCTCCTGAGCGTGTCGGCTGAGATTAACCGCCCGGTCGAACTCTTCATTGCACAGAGAACATCCGGAACATCCATTGTCAACCGGCATGGTCAGCAAGATCACGTCCTTGCAGCAGGGTGAAGTCCCTTCAGCAGCCACACTTACAGCTTCTCCAACTTCACAGGATTGCTTTATCTGAAATAGAAAAGACAGGGTAATTAATCAATTTATGATAAGTGTAAACATACAAAAGGAGACAACACTAAGAGAAACAAGGGTGAAAAGGATACACGAGAAGCCCCATGGAATGCTTGCTTTTGTACAAATGCAAAGAGCCGCTTCACGACAGTCTGAGGACTAGTCGTCTTGCCGCATTCCTGTTTGCCTCTGCGTATGTTAGCGTTCGAGAGGTTTACTGGTCTTATTGTCAGTGACTCCAAAATGGAGTTTCAGCCGTGTCGCACGACTGCGAACACCCCACCCTCCCACAAGCGGATGCTTAAGAGGCCGAGATTTTCAGTTGGAGACCACGCCGCAACCGTTCCCTGGTATCCAAGACTTCGGCACCGCCTACACGTCGAGGACGTTTTGCGTTCAATAGCTTCGTTTTCGACTTGCGTCTATTTACTTACCGTAGTGCGTTCGAGGGCTTCGCCTATTCGCTTACCAGTACTGCTATGAATCTCAAATCGTTGACTTGATTGAGGTTACAACCCCCCCCCCATTGCCGCACTTCCTTGGGGACTCAGAGATGTACCCAGTCGGCAATGCCACTGGCACGTACGGCGGGTTTCTGTCGGTTACCACTCTTTAAGAGGGATCTCATTTTAGATACCTGTTGATCTGCGTTGATGTGTAGTCTGTAGCATGTCCCTAGTATCATCTTAGAGGTGCGAATTTCTCGCCGTGATGACGAGTCGCCCTATCCTAATCTGTCATCTGCAGAAAGCAGATGTGCAGTCACTGAGACGAGCACCCTTAGGATTCAGATTTGCATTGCATAAGGTCCCCTATACGTGCCAAACCATGTATATGACGCAATACAAGAGTTTTGGCCATACATCCTCTGCAGCTACACTTTAGGCACATGGGACTGGGCTCACACTTTTTGTCCCCTTGGTTAGACCAAAAACTAGTATAACCTTCGATGTAGAAAACCTCCTCAAGAGAGTCGTATTTACTCCGGACGTTTACACGCGCTTAAATGAATTTCTGCACTTTGACATTCAGAGCACTGGGCAGAAATAACATTGCGTCAGCACCCGTCACCGGCCATAGCAATGCTTTGTTTTAGACAGTCGGATTACCTTAGTCCTTGCCAGTTCTGAGTCGGCTGTTAGTTGCCCGTCGAAACCGTCACTCAGCACGAAAGCAAGGTCCGTGCCGCAGCTGAGACATTCCACGCAAAGGCCCCATCTCTGGTCCGTGCCGAACCGGATTGAGTCGCCTGAGACAGTCTCGTCCAGTCCCGGTACAGAGCCACACCCGCTTCGTATCCCAGACCGACGGGCACAATCGTCAGAGCCAATCCTTGTCCCGAAGTTAAGGATCGAATTTGTCGACTTCCCTTACCTACATTGTTCTATCGACTAAAGACTGTTCCTTGGAGACCTGCTGCGGATATGGGTACAAACCGGCGCGAAAATCACACTCTCTCCCTCGGATTTGCTAGGGCCGTCAGAGGCGCACCGGACACCGCAAGAGCCGCGGTGCTTTTACGGAGACAGAGTCCCTATCTCTGGACGAGCCGATTCCAGGGACACGAATCCTTACAAAGAAATGACAACTCTTCCCCGGGTCCTTCGTCGACGTCTCCGAGTTCGGTTGCGTTATCGCACATGTCCTCGAGGGGACTATCTCCGTGTCCGGGTTAGGGAATATTGACCCCATTCCCTTTCTGTCGGCAACGAGACAAGCATCATCGTTGCGATTATGCAATTTGGTCAATTTCTCGCTTCGGAACGGATTTATCTGATCCCTTAGGGCCGACTGACCCATATTCAACTGCTTTTCACATGGAACTCTTCTCCAACTTCAGTTCTCAAGGTTCTCGCTTGAGTATTTCCTACTTGAAAAAAATTTCTTTAAATTATGTAAAGGTCACATTGAAGAATTTATTTGGACTTAATTTGCTCTTTGTTTTGTCGTGTGGTCAATCCGGGCGACCAGATTTATCGCCTAATCTCTATAAATCTAATTTCTGTAGGTACTGCAAAAAATGATTTTAAATGGTGATGATTCCGAACCTCTTGTTTGCTTCTTTCACTAAATATGATGGATATTTTCAAAATGAGATGCATGTGATCTCACATGGCTTATTTAAACTTGGCTAAAAATGGAACATTCAAAAACAAATAAGTACAGCACTGTACCATGGAAATATCAGCTTTCTATTTTACTCACAAATGACATCCTTTAACAGATTCAAGGTGGTAACTGAGAAGGTTTCATGTTCTCTAACGATGATATCAACAAGGCTTGGATGATGGACAAAGCATACAGACTTCAGATCCTATCTTGCACTTTCAAACCGTCTTTTTTCCCATAAAATACTGGAGCTTCAAGGAAAAAATATGTCGTTTTACTCGATCTAAAGATAAAAACTGTTCGGCAATCAGTTTTTAACCCCTTAACTGGTTTCTTTTCTCAACTGTCTAATTAGATGACACCTTCCATTTTGGGAATGCGTTATTTTAATTCAGTTGACAACCTTCAAGACACGAAATATTTACGTATTCCACGTAATTTTTGTATCGAATTATAACATGTGTGAATGACTTTTAGTTTGTGTTTAAATTTGCGGTAATTAGATGCACCTACGTCGTATGGGCAAAACAGTTCAATTTACCAGAAAACAGAAAGAATGCCAAAACATTACCTAGTTAAGAACAAGAATCAGTTTGATATTTTGTTTTATGCACATGGAAATTGAATTTAAAAAAAAAATCAAAATTCCGACATTTAAATGTAAGAGAAATTAAAGTCGTTCGGCCTTCAAACCATAAAATTTCTCTATTTGTAGGAATAGAGACTTTACATTTGCATTTAAACTGTAGCCTAATACAGCTCATTTTAAGTTTAAGACTAGGTACCGGCGGAAAAAGGTTCAGATTAAGAATAAAAAAATACTTTTATCTGTTTTTTGAAAAGCTCTTTCCAAAAATTAAATTATCTAATGACTATTCCTTTTTCATGGATTTGACTAACTTCTACAACTTATTAAAAAAGTAATATTTCTAGGTTAGCTTTAAATTTAACAACACTTTTAAAGTTTCTTCACACGTATTTTTCCAAATCACAGAGTTTACAAGAATAAGTGTTGTATTTTACTGAAACTTGTTATTACGAGAATTAACAATGCATAATTTTGAAAATTATTCGATTTCTTCTTGCATAGCTATGAAGTGTTTTAATACAAATAATTAACCTCATGTAGACATTTAAATAAGAGAGAAGTTAAAATATTATTCTGCACTGACACCTTAAAATTCCTCCGAATCTGAGAATAGGTATCTGCAATTTAAACTGTAGCATAAGCAACATTTCATCTTCCAGGAAAGCTTAAAATAAATAATACTTTCAGATTATTTTACATTTTTTTTCCAAATCACAATTTGCTAGAATAAAGTTATATTTCTTGTTACATGGAGAATAAGCGATGCAAAATTGTGACAAATTAATGAGTTCCGTCAAATCTTAATAATTCTTTAAAAATAAGTTAATTCTTCCTAAAATGCTCGAAGACAGTTTATTGATTCTGATATCAATTAACAAGAATGTTAAATCCTATCCAGGATATTTATTTTATATTCCATCTGAAGTATACTAATATGGAGTTTTCAGAGGAAATAAGTCTTGAGAGTTACATATGTTTCATAAAGAATTAAAAGCACAGCCGCGTCAAATTACTTAATCAATTTCACAACTGAAAAAATAGCAACCTTTAGATGCATATCCTATTGTTACTAAAATCGATCCTGTAAAGAAATTTTCCATTCTCAAACAATGTATACACTTATTTAAAATGTAAGTTGAAGTTGAAGTTGATTTGACTTTCCCTGGCACAAGATCCTCGAATGGGATAAGCTGCGCCGAAAACCAAGAATCTGTGCAGAAAATAAGTGCTTAAAAGAATCGTTAGTTAAAATCCAAGTAAAGAAGTGAGATGAATGAAGCGACACTACAAAGATACTAAAACAAGAAATTTAAAAGAGATCAGTTCAAAAGATAAGAAAACTAAATATCATGGAAAACACCAATGTCCTTCAAGTACATGAAGAGGTTAAAATGTGGAATTTGTCCCAATAAAAATGATAAATCGAAACTGCTTGAGCGAAAGTACCTCAACCGACGTCTATTAACAGCCACACAGTCTGTTAAGATGTGTTTGACAGTTAGCATGTCACCACAATGGCTACATGTTGGAGGAGACTCCGCAAAGAGCAAATATTTATGTGTCAGTCGTGTATGCCCAATACGAAGTCTAGTTAACACGACGTCACAGCGTCTGTTAATTTTCGTAACCCAGTGCGAGAGAACGGGTTTAATGACATGGAGCTTGTTATTTGTTTCCATATTCCATTTTTCCTGCCACTGGCAATGGCACCACTGATTGACGGCTGATCGCACATCAGCATAAACAATTGGTCGTGTCAAGAATTCTGTAGCCGATTTTGCAGATTTGTCTGCCAATTCATTTCCAGTAATGCCAACATGGGAGGGAACCCATGAAAATAGAATCCGAGCCCCTTTTGAAAGTAAATGCCTATAGAAGTCTTTAACTTCTTTAATGAGTGGATTACGAGTTGAGGAGCTACGTAAAGATTCCAGAAGACTCATAGAATCAGTGTATAAAATGGATTTTCTAATGTCATGCACATCAATGTACTTGAGTGCAAAATAAACAGCCGTAATTTCTGAAGAGAATACAGAAGTAAAAGAGTGTAGTTTATAACTGACGATGTGACCATTAGTAAAAAATGCGCAGCCAACATGGTTCAAGGATTTGGAACCATCCGTAAAAACTGGTTGATAAGACTGATAAAATTGTCGATGTTGATTAAAAAGTGAAATTAAAACCGAGTTATTGGAGTCTGACTTGGTAAAATTTCCAAAAGGGTTAATGTAAGATATGCTGTTTTCCATCCATGGAGGATGGTCACAAAAATCATTTGTGTGAATCTTTACATCATGAAATGTGTCTGGAAGTATATTACGCATACGCAGTCCAAAATGAGGGATGCATGAGCGGCGGGCATTGAAGAGGCGATTATTATTGCCATTTAATAATGTCCCACGTAAAGGATGGTTGTCGTTTGACAGAATACGAAAGTAATAAGAAAGAGACAATTTATCTCTTCTAGATGATAATGATGGTTCAAAAGCCTCCGCATATAACTAGGAGATGTTCGGAAGGCCCCTAAACACAGCCTTAGAGCTTGATGATGAACATAATCAAGGCGTTTCAAGTAAGAAGGTCGAGCAGAGCCATATACTACACTTCCATAGTCTATCATAGACCGGATAACGCTGCGATAAACACGAAGCAAACATGAGCGGCTGCTCCCCAGGAAGTATTGGATAGAGTTCTTAAAATATTTAATGATCGAAGACACCTCTTCCGTAAGCTGGCAATGTGCGGAAGGAAGGTCAAATGTTTATCAAATACTATACCCAAAAATTTATAGTTATCTTGGAAGCGAATAGGGACACCACTCAGCAACAATTCTGGGTCAAGATGAAGAGGCCGTTTGCAAAAGTGTATGCCTATTGTTTTTTGTGCAGAAATAGTAAACCCGCTTTTATTTGACCACTCAACAATATTGTTGATGGCTGTCTGAAGCTGTCTTTCTATGAGTTGCATGTTGCGAGCATAGCAAGAAATGTGCAAATCATCAACGTAAAGATTCTTTTGTACAGTTTGTGGGATTACTGATAAAATGGGATTGATAGCTAAAACAAAAAGAGTCACACTTAAGACAGAGCCCTGAGGAACACCCTCTTCCTGGCAAAAAATATTGGAATAAGTATTCCCCATCCGGACTCTAAAAAATCTTTGCTTTAAAAAGTTTTGAACAAATATAGGTAAGTTTCCTCTAAAACCAAGATCGTATAGATTTTTCATGATGCCATACCTCCAGGTACGATCATATGCTTTGTAAATATCGAAGAAAATAGACACTAGATGATTCCGTTTTAAAAAAGCAACGCGAATATCCGTTTCTAATGACATTAAATTATCAATTGTGGATCGTGACTTCCGAAACCCACTCTGGAAAGGAGATATGTATTCATTCTTTTCTAGGATGTGTACCAATCGTACATTTACTATTCGTTCAAAAAGTTTACACATGCAACTGGTTAGGGCTATTGGTCGATAATTTAGAGGATCCTGTGGGTCTTTACCCGGCTTCGGTATAGGAATAATAAAAGCATGTTTCCAACAATCTGGAAAGACATGTTCTTTCCAAATGCGATTAAACATGTAAAGAATATTTAGAAGGGAGTGTTCTGAAAGATGTTGAAGCATAGAGTAGGTAACCTCATCAGGACCAGGTGAAGTGTGTTTAAGAACAGATAATGCTGTGTGCAATTCAAAGATAGTTAGGTCAGTATTGTAAGATATATGTTTTGTCGTCTGGAAGCGCAACTTAACGCGTTCCGTACGATTGTTATGCGTGAGGAAAGGTTCGGTATAGTTGCTTGCTGAGCAAATAGAGGCAAAAGCTTCAGCAAGAACATCCACCATATCTGAAATATTTCGAACTTCCTGACCGTTCTTTCGCAGACAGGAGATGCGTTTTTCGGGATAAATACCGCACGCCCTTCTAACATTATCCCACATATCTTTTGCTGTAACAGAGGAATTAATACCGGACACAAATTTAATCCAGTATCCACGTTCACTTTTCCGCCTAGCCCACCGTGCGATGCTTTTAGCTCTTTGAAAGGCTATTTGATTAGCCGAGGTTGGATGCCGTCGGAAAACATTCCAGGCTCTTCTTTGGTCACGATTGGTATCAGTGCAATACTTATTCCACCATGGTTTCCTATTATTAGGGAAGCTCAGT